ATGTATGTATTGATGATTGATGAATGGATGGATGGATGGATGGATGGATGATGGATGGATGGATGATGGATTATGAATGATGGATGGATGGATGATGGATGGATGGATGGATGGATGATGGATGGATGATGGATGGATGGATGGATGGTCTAAACATTGTACATAACAGAAAAGAGATCAAAGATTTACCGAAACTTGAGTTTTTGTTTCTTGTAGAACAAACGGGTTCATGTGGGATTATCTTTGCACCGCCTGCAGAAGGACACCAGGAGGCGATGTGGATCTGCTCAACCATAGGAGGATGAGGAGGAGGAGGCGGAGGAGGAGGAGGAGGACAGGCCTGGACTGGCACACTGGCAGGTCTGAGGTGGGCGGAGCCAACAGGAACCTGTTTGAAGGATTCTGAGCCGCCTTCAGGAACAAGAGAAAAAACTGGATGAGGATGTTCGGACCCGAGTTTCACTGCAGGTAAACCCGTTTTATTGATTTGGTCGGAACATTTCGGTTCTGCTTGAGGTGGGCTTAGTTTGGGTTTGGGTTTTGAATGTAAAAACTTTATTATTATAATTATTTTACAAAAACAATGTTAAAAAACAGTTTTTCTTTGTGTGAAACAAACATCCTGAAGAGTCCAGGAACTCAACCTCTTTAGCTTCAGATGAACTCCTGGCTGGCTGTGCGCGCGCACGCGCGCGTGCGTATAACAGTTCTGGTCTCAGTCCACGACTGAGCCGGTTCAGGTTTTTATCCTGCAGTGATGGAACCAGAACCGTTTTGGATCAGAACCGTTTGCTGAGCTTTAACTGTTGATGTGGATCTGAGACCCGACATCTGGACCAGCTGGAAAATAAAACTGGATCAGAACACTTGTACATCAAAACCACTATGGTTCTGTTTTTGATCAGAAGTTGATCAAACAGAACCAGGGTTGGACCCTGATCTGGACTGAACTCTGGAGGTTTTTGTCCTTGAATAAAAGGTCCAGTCTCTGCAGGTCTAAAGGACTGAGATGGTTCTTGTGACTCCTTGAGGGGATCCTCTCAGAACCTTCAGAACCTTCTCAGATCTTGATTTAACCCCAAGAAGACTTTGGTATCGATGCTGAAAGAGGTTCAGACCAGAGCCCAGATTAAACATCTGGACCACTCACATCATCGCTGGTTCTGCTGGGTCCAGGAGAACCACAACTGTCTGTAGAACCCTTAAAGTCCAGGCAAAGGTGATTCTCGGACCTGAACCGGGTTCTGACTCCGTCTGGAGGTTTGGAATTAGTTTTTATTTCCTTTAAAGTCAGAAAAGTAAAAAAAAAAAAAAAGATCAAGTTTTTTAAAATAACTTTTTCTTTTATAAAACTTTGATCATAAATTCTGAAAATAAAAAGATTTACCTGCAGGATGTTCTGAAGGAGTTCTTCTGTAAATAATGAATTTATTATAAATAAAATCATGAATTTTTTGTAAATGAATCTTGTTGAACCGGTCAGGAGAAAACGGCCGAAGAAACGTTTTTTCTGTTTTTTACAGGAAGTTTTTATTTTGTTGTAAAATTATACAAATGTTACATTTGATTAGTTTTTGGAGCTTTAGTCCCGTTCTGGAGAGCACCAGTTCTGGAGCAGGACCAGCCTAGAGTCTTTCTGGATTGGATGCGACCAGTTCAGCCCCCCTGGGTTGGAGGTTTGAGGATCTTGGATCAGAGTTGTCCATACTTGAGAGGGTTGGGACCAGTCCTCACCCACAGCATGGTGCTGCCACCGCCATGTTTCACTGTGGGGGGTCTGCAGTTCCTCAAACCTCCACATGAGTCCACGTGGGACCCCCTCAAAGGAACACAGATCAGTGTGTTTCTGGGGAACCGGTGCTGCAGCACTTTTTGTGGCCTGGAGACCAAGTTTCGTGGCTGAAACAACAACAAAAAAAAAAACAGATTCAAAGCTGGATCCTGGCTCTGAAGCAGTTCTTAAATGAGTTTTAGAAAACCGGTTTGAGAATTATGAGACTCGAGGAGTTCCTCGTACGATGCAGATCTGAACCCTGCAGGGGCCACGACGGGTCTACATGGTGTTTCTAAAGGTTCTGGACCTCACGGCTCCTCTGAGTTTTAGGTCAAACACAGTTAATGTTTCTGGAAAACCCAAAGTGAAGATTTGACCCGGTCTGCTGGTTTTACTCAGTCTGGATGTGAATGAACCTGACTCGGACCGGTTTGTTTGTCTGTACAGTTCTGGGTTTTGGGCTGAACTGGTTCTGTTTGATTAATTAGGCCAGACAGAAAATACAGACGGCTCCAATCTTCATTGGTTCTGTGTGACCCAAATCAGAAAACGCTCTTCCTCCGGTGCTTCGGTTCTTGGTCTAGGCCTGAGGTGGTTCTGCCTAAATCCTTTCAGCTCTGAGTCAAATCTGCAACATGGTCCAGATCCAGAACTATTTGGGTTCAGTTCAAATAATTAGTTTGTTTTGATATGAAAAACCAGGACTGTCCCTGAACCAGGCCGAGGTTCGGCAGGTCCGGACTGTCCCTGAACCAGGACGGGGTTCGGCAGGTC